GACCACATTTTCCCACACAGACGTTTAACTGACAAGTTGCTGTCGACACTCCTTATTCATATTGAGCTTTTGTAACACTGCCAATAACACCCTGTTATGGGATGCATTAAAGTTGCATGTTTAAGCTTCAATGGGAATATCAATACAAGAAACGACGTTTGCGGAGTGTTTTTCTCGACAACAATCAGTACGTTGTTAGGCATATTAAATGTATTCGATTGAATGCAGTTCAAATCCTAGGGCTCTCAGCATCAACACACCAAACAGATAATCCATATATTGTTAAACTTTCATTACTAACAAACAATGTAGACTTGATAATCAATGTAAACTGGTTCTACAGCTGGTAGGCGCAGGCATAAAAGAACTGAATATTTCTGCAACTGGACAAGCAACAAACGCAGACCATATTTTGCTAATTCAAGACAAATATGGACTTAGTGTTCTTTGTAACAAAAATGTTGACATTTGTAATGCAGTAAGTAGACAAAGCCCTTTGATCCAAATAATTATTGCTTGCCTTGATATTTGTTATTTTTATTATTCACAATGTCGAGATCCAAAGCCGTTTCACGCATCTAACAAATGTGTAGAATTAAGTTATAGTTAACATTCTTTCTTAGAAGATATTCGTCTAGGTACACACAGTGGATGTTTGACAAGTGTGTGATGCACGAGCGTGATCGGAAGAATGAACCTTGTACCAGTATATGAGCGTGCGTGTGTTGATGGTAGCTATATCAATAAATTACTGCATATGTACTTCTTTGATGGAAATTTTAGAAGTTGAGGTGATGAAGAATGAAGATAATTGTATGGATGTACAACTTCTATATTCTGTGAAAGGTGACTTTTCGACATAGATTCTAGTGTCGTTGTCATGCAAGTGACCTTAAAACCTATGTAACAACATTAGAATCTATGTTGAAACGTCGCCTTTCACAGAATAAAGACGTTGTATATACATACAATTATCTTCACTCTTCATCACCTCAACTTCTAAAATGTCCACCAAAGAAGTACAACATTGTTATCAATACTAATGTAAAGCTTTCCGAATTCAAAGAAATGTGTGTGGCGCACTTGATCCAATCAGAAGGGTCCCTAATTAGCCATGTAGTAACTAGCAGGATTCAACATTTTCTAAGGTAACGGGCATCTGCTTGAGAAATCTCAACACCTTTAGATTTTTCTCTTCACCAATGAACAGGATTTTACATTATCTACATGTCTTTATGATATGTGTATGCTTTTTGAAGTCTAGATGTTGCTGAAATACTGCCGGTGTGACTTTAAACATAACTCAATCATTCTTTACTAATCTTTGAGATGTGGCGGTAGAAGATTGTAAGATCTCTTCTTCTAATGGAGACGTCACTTAGTAACAGTAGTTGTATGTTTGCAGGGATCATGACAACAGAAGGAAACATTGAGGACAGCGTTTTCTGTTTATTATTGGAGCGCTGGGGATCTTGATGATTACAAAATCAATTCAAAGTTGTGAACGATACAGAAATCAATACAACAAATATACGTTAAAGTTATCTATGGTAAGTAATACAAGTGATATAGTTCACTACGATAATGTTTTTAGAACTTACATTAGTCGTTGTCTGTTTCCTTTCACCAAAGTTTGCTGGTGGATAAAGATTACAAACATGGCCGTTACTGAAGCAATGAACCATTCACTTTCCATTTTATTTTACTGAAGCTTACACATTTTAAGGTTTTAACGCACCAGCGTTGTTTCAACTAGATACAATGTAGCGAAACTTACCCTCATTTTACAAAAATGACTTGAACATATAACAAAGAACCCAAACACAAAAGCACAAATATGTACATAAGTAAACCAAAAGGGAAATATTCAATGCTGGATCATTTTCATGTAACAAGGGGTGATATTTCAGTCTGGACTTCAATACTTATCAACAAAGCTTCCTTTCATTCGAAGGGAAGTTATTTATAAAGGTGAAACCCTTGATGAATTATCATTTGTTGTGAGTTATTTTTCTAAAATCACAATGTAATAAAAATATCTTTCAGATTACCAAATAAGAGCTCCATTTTCACAGCAGACGCAACCGCCGTATTAACAGGTCTTAATTACATCAATACACACCAAAAATAAAAAAGTATATAATCTTTTCAGACTCACTTTAAGTGCCTTATGGAGATTAAAAGTTGTGTTGTCAAAATCCACTTGTAATCGAAATCATTGAATGAAACACTAATCTTGCTACTGGCCAATACGACATCATCCTCTGTTTGAAACCCAGTATTGTTGGAATTACTAGGAACATAATGGCATACCCTGCTTCAAAAGCAACTCTCAACAAAATCTGTGACACAACTTCTCCTTCCTCATCCTGATTACAAACCTATCATTAAAACTTAATCCGTGATATTATGGAAATGTAGGTGTAAATAAACTGCACTGAATTAAATCAGCTGTCGGTTTCAGTGAGTGAGTGAGTTTAGTTTTACGCTGCACTCAGCAACATTCTAGCTATATGGCAGCGGTCTGTAAATAATCGAGTCTGGACCAGACAAGCCAGTCATCAACAGCATGAGCATCGATCTGCGCAATTGGGAACCGATGACATGTGTCTACCAAGTCAGCGAGTCTGGCCACCCGATCCCGTTAGTCGCCTCTTACGACAAGCATGGGTTACTGAAGATCAATATTCTAACACGGACCTTCAAGAGTCAGCTGTCGGTTTCAATTACTTGGGTTGTCAGTCCAGTTTTGAGGAAGTCGGCGATGTCGTATAGGCCACTTTAAGGGCGAGGCTCCTCCATTCTGTATCCCTTGTGATGAATAACGTACGGTCAAACATGTCCTACGTAACTTTACTGATTTTTCCATCACAAGGGATAAATATTTCAGTGTAAAACAATGAAGGATATTTTGAATAATGTTGATACTCTTTTCTTTAAAGAAAGAAATATAATTTAAAAAAACCCCAAACGTTTCATAGTAGGATATTTGTTCTTTTATAGTATGGCTCAATGTCTCCATCATCGCCAACACCTGAACGGATGGTGTAAATTCAGCTGGAGTCCATGCAGGGAGCAAAGGTACTGTAAGTCCCCATGGTCCCTAGTATGGTGATCTACCTTCAGTTGCTGGCGATCTTTAGCCCTTTTTTATATTGTATTGTTTTCTGTAGTGACACATTACTCAATCCGTGATACTCTGGTGTTTTTAGGTTCTTTGACGACAGAATTATATTGTGTAGATTTATGTAGGTTTAATGTATAGATTGTTATCGTCACGGTATATCTGAAATATTACTGATGTGCCATTAAATATTAACTCTCACACGCTGATTTCTATCCCTATGTCAACTATCTATATTCTCCAAATTTACAGCTTTTATACATGTGTATACAATGTGTATTTATATTATTATGTGTATTTGAAATGTCGGCTGGCATAATGGGATCCGTCTATTTCTGTGTCACATCCAAGAGTGAAAGATGCCCATGATCCATGCCCATTGACAGACAAAGAAGATATGAGAGACGTGAACATCGCCGATGGACTAGGTCATGATAGTTATGAAGACCTGGTGTTGGCTGCTTAGGGCATAAACTCCATCATGCTAACAGTGACGTCGTAGAGGAAGGAAACGTAATCAGGTTTTGCCCCAGAAACTCTCTCAGTGAAGTTGACAATGCTCGCACCATCGACTACAAGCTGGAACAAATAGTCCATTACATTATTTGAACATTTCGTTATTCGTTACTTGTAAGCAACGGAGTCTCTGATATTCTTCATTGATACACAAGAGCATTAATGAAGCACCAATAAAAGGGAGTGAGTGAGTGAGTTAATATTTAACGTCACATCGGCAATATTGCAGCCATATCGTGACGAAAACAAGCCAATAAAGGGAACTTTTGATGTTTTGATGAACATGCGAATCATACCGTAACATAGTGGAATGCACATACAAACAACACAATATCTCACCATATATGAGTCACATACGTTCACGTGTTGTGAAATCGCCAAGCACACCGAGGCATAAATTTCATACTTGCAGTTTATGTACAAGGGTTTTCGGAACTGTTTTCTGTATATGCAAAATACAAGATGGCAAGTGATTACTATGATGAGGCAACTGCGCCGGTGATGGAGCGTGGGAGTAAAGGAGGCATTACAGTACCTCGGGGACTCAGTGGTCAACGTTAATAACAGGGCTGTTGTACACTGCCGTTGTGCCATATTATGATGACATCCCCTTGCCAGTCATCTGATATTCATGGATGACGACGTTAAACCTCACAGTTCTCGAGCTGCTATTGCCTATTTGTGGAATACGGTTTTGAAATATTTACACGGCCCAGAAGGATTCCCGATATGAATCCCATTGAGCATCTTTGGAACACTCTTGGACGATCTCAAGATCCTCCTGTTCAAAGTCTGTAGGAATTGACGCAGGCACTTGATGAATGGCAGGTGATTACTGGGATGAGAATTCGGCGTTTTATTACTAGTATGAGGTGGAGACTGGCACACATCTGTTCGAGTGGACCCGTGAAGGTCCGGGTTAGAATATTGATCTTCAGTAACCCATGTTTGTCGTAAGAGGCGACTAACGGGATCGGGTGGTCAGGCTCGCTGACTTGGTTGACACATGTCATCGGTTCCCAATTGCGCAGATTGATGCTCATGCTGTCGGTCACTGGATTGTCTAGTCCAGACTCGATTATTTACTGACCACCGCCATATAGCTGGAATATTGCTGAGTGTGGCGTAAAACTAAATTCACTCACTCACTGTGCAAGGGGTGGCTGCACCAGGTACATGGAGGAATGTGAAGGGCGCGCCACATCAGACTTATCGAATACTAGAACAGACTCTACACTCTCGCGACATAATCGACGCGATTTGTGCTGTTTGTTGAATTCGATTTATCACTCAGAAGATACGACTCGGTCGAATTCGACATATCGATTCGACGGGCCCACGCGTGTGAGTCCGCCATAAACAAACCACATAAGTAATCAACGAACCAGAAATCCTTTACCATAAGTGCATATAGATTCCACGGCATATACCTAAAGATAACGTTTCCGAAATACCTTTATTTTACCTCTATTCTTCTCAGTTTGTCATACATACCCTGTATATACAATCTTGAAGGGTTATTTCAACATCGTAGTTTTGTCCAACAGCCATTGTTAGATCAGCAAGCACCTCCGAGCCCCATTTTGTATCTATTTCCGTGTTGATAACAACCCTTCCACGGAACCCCAAATGATATAGGCGAAATTCTGAGTAGAATATAACATCTGCTTGTTTCTGTAGCGCAATACCAAATCTTTGATAAAAGATAGAAAGAAATGAATGTGTTGATAATTTTGCAATGGTGGAACTACATAACGGTCTTAACATTTAAAAAAAATCTGCTCATGCACAGAAAAGCAAAAGAACATCAGTTGGCAAGGGATACATATATGCGGATATTTGGTTCCCTGGGCAACACTTGAGTAAACCAAGTGTCCGGGTAAGTGAGACTGTATCAGAAAATCCATATCATATGTTTTCAGAAAGAGAGCCACGTAACTGTAGCTCTCCTATATATGTACTCAACAGAATACAGTGTCAGGAAAGGCAGCCAGTTCTGCAATAATGATATCCAAATATTGTCACTATGATACAAATAGAAACTGGTTTCAAAGAAGCAGTTAAGTATTTTGAAAGCATGGTCAGGAGAAAAGATCAAAATTTAAAATATCCTTATGAAGCTGAATCTGTACAAGTTCAACAAATAACTACAATTGTACAAAAGTTAATAGCAAGAAAAGAAATTACTTTGCCCTGCTCATAACAAGGTTTTTCAAAATTGTAGAAAAGGTAAGTATTGATCACCTTGTATCTCTAGACGGTGTCACGCTGATCTTCAGCTTGAAGTTGCTTGAAGGACCACACGGAAATGAATACCTGTCATTTATCTGCTGCAAATATACAAACAAATTTCTCAGTTAGCAGTTTTTATAGTTTCATAATTACAGATAAGATTTTGTTGTGTAAAATGGCTTGTTCTTGATTGAATCTGATTCAATTTCGTGTTCAATCGACATTACTCGAGATGAAGAAATAGAATTCAGGGAATTGATATTTTTTGTGGATGGCGACATTCTAACTCGGAGTCTGTCCATGGTAGGGGATTTGCAAGCTGTGGTCATGTATACCACGACAGTATAAATACAGAGACAAAAGATATCTTACAGGATCGTGCCACCTGAACTGTCCACAAAGATCGGCTAAACTCTCCCACGCTCCAGATGACTGACAGGTGCTGGTGACATTGTTGTAGCAGGCTCTGTAGTCAGGGTCGCAGGTGTACCTGGAGTAGGTCGCCACAGCTCCCTGGTAGTGACCATCATACATGGTGCTGGCGTCTCTCACTTCCGGGGGAGGACCACATCCTTGGAACTCTTCAGAAATATATAGCCTTGAATTCGAATCCACGTCAATAACCCGTGTTTTTGAACATTGGATCTCTCATTGCGTATGTATTCTATGTGTTACGTCAGCAGAATGGTTTTGATTTTCCATATTATTTTCAAGTCTTCATTTCCTTCTATTGTACGTAAGATAAATTACGTGCATCAATTTACAAGAATTTCCAGTATCGCTAACTGGACGTATGTATAAATATGCTCCTGTGTGCATGTGCCAAAGGTAGTTGATCCATTGGAAAAGACATTGCTTACCTGGAGCACACCTTGCAAGACCCAGTCGTGTTACTTCACATCGGTCGTTGTTGGGACATGTCTTTTGAGCGCACCGTCCGGAGAGAGACTAAAAACAAAACATGCCGTTCAAATCTAAAGAAGTCATTCAGACACCAGATGTATGACGGACACGTCTGTAAGTTCAGAAATCAGAAAATGGCATCTACTTCGTCCAATGAAGTACCCTTTTATTCCAAACAGCAACATTTCCTCATTACACATGGAAACTGAATGGTCTGCGCAATTCATCCAGTGATAGACATCATGATTTTTTGAATTCATATTTTGTATTCATTGGTTGGAAGCGTTTGCGCCTCCAACCCTTTAACCAGGCTGAATTTGTCTCTTGTGAAATTTCTCCCAAAAATATACACTTGTATATGCTTGATTATTCATAATAAACTTTCAGCCAATGATAGTCTCTTTGTATTTTGGCAACTGCAGATGACCAATGAACATAGCTGTAGCACATTATTAGCCACGTGACCATGTGGCTAATCCAAAATAATTGTCCCGTTTCACTTCATAGTAAATGCGGAAATCGATTTTTCTTAACTGATACACTTTCAATTCAAAACAATTTTACACGTAATAGAGCACACGTGTACTAGTTCACTCCATAATTTCGAATTTTTCAGAACCCGAATCCATTCCATTTTGGTAGCACCCATTAGCTCTTCCTGGAATTAAGCAAAGGGCCGACTGGTTTCCTAGAATCGGTTCAAGAGGCGTGTTCCGTAACAGTACCGAGAGTGCTGAGCGTTGAGCATACTTATTATACCGTCTCACTATGCAAACCCATATAGACGCTGGCCCGGCAGTACTACCAAATTGGACCATGTTTCCTCTGCTCGTCACAAGTACTTCATTTCCAGACATATCAAATCTTATATACTGGAGATGAGAGTACTGCAATTGCGATGCGAGTACCGATCTCTAATAGAAGCAAGTCTCTAATAGACGAAGGTGTGGTCATCGTGATGCTCTTGAAATCAGCTTTACCCCCCAAATCATCTCACGTCCGTCTCACTAAATTTCTTAATTTGCTCTTAAGTTAGGTGCCTCCAACGTTGCCTTTTTAAAAGCTTTTCGTGTTTTGAATGAATATCAACTAAACTCCGTCGAATATTTCCACTTCTTCTACTTTTGCTTTTCTTTCTTTTTGCAGAGTACATCTTGTGGTGAACTGGCCCCTCTAATAGTCAGATATTATGAGTTTCCATCAGAACAGGGCAGTGGGGCAGTGGGGCAGCCTAGTGGACAAAGCTTTCGCTCGTCACGCAGAAGGTGGTTCCCCACATGGGTACAATGTATGAGGCACACTTGTGGTCAATGATCGATGATGGAGACATGTTTGGTTTAGTGACGAGTGAGTTAAAATGTATAGCCACATCTCCAATATTTCAGCTATATCGTGACAAAAGCTATTCATACATTGATAACAAATTAATAAAATGATGTCAGAAAATATGTCGAGGAAGGAGAGTAAGAACAACTAGATTATGACAGATATAAATGTAAAATTAACATGTAAATCTAAAACAATTTTACTATAATTTCAGACAATACAATATAAACACGGGCTACAAATTGCCAACAACTGAAAGTACATCACCATACTGGAACCATTGGGACTTTTGCTTTTGCTACCTGCATGGACCACAGCTGGATTACGCAATCTCATCAAATATTTTAAACAATTAAACTATTACGATTAATAGTGGATGTTTACAAGATCACTCTTTATTAGAAGTGACAGAAGCAACTGTGCCATCATTAACCTTGGATCTATCTGAAAATACAGATTTGTATGTATTATGTTGACTTCTTAATTGATTAAATTCCTGTCTATACTGTAATTCATCTGTTTCTGAATTCTTGAATGTGGTCAGTGTTTGGTCGCCTCACCAATTGCCAGCTAGGAGAAGAAAGCAGGTGGGAAGGAGATATATTTTCTAGCTCCAGAAAAGCATAAAAGCTTAAATGGGAGTCAAAACTAAGACCCAAGAACTTGGCCTCCTTTACAACTTCGATGGGGGTGTCATTTAAAACTAGTCCTGGGTCTTTATGCAGTTTACATTTTCGGCAGAAATGTATGCAAATAGCTTTTGATTTAGAAAATTTAAAGTCGTTTGTGACCATTTGTGAGACAGATTTGAAACTGCTTCTCTATTGTATGCATATTTTTACCACGACAAGAAACATTGAAACATCCACGAAAACTAATCCAACAACTGAAAGCCTTTGAAAGACTATTTATTTTAATACTAGATTCTATATAGTACCACAGACAAAATACTGCCTTGTGGAACACCCTGATCCCGATCTCAGACTTGAATTTGCCTGTCTGTTGAAAACTCTGATACGGACTAAGGTAAACGACCACTCAAGATCAAAGAAAACTCAGTACTACGTATTGTTTAGATACCATAGCGTTTTAACAAAGGATTCCAATTATACTGAATAATCAATAGTACCTTTGTACTTCGCTTTTTACTGAAACCACATTCTATATTTGGTATCAAGTAAATGGTTTCCAGATGCCATATTCATCTATTATTTATTATTAGATCAATGGTTCTACAGTCACTCAACTTGTTAAAGATATTGGTCTGTAATGAGAAGGATCAGTACGATTCTGACCAGACCACAGTGCCATTATGCCACGAATATTGAAAATTCCTTGAAGTCCATATTTTATGCAATATATCTAGAATTGTTTCCAGACAGATTCAGTTAAATGCTGATATTGCATATTATCAGTCCCTGTTGGGGTATCGTGAGCTTGCTCACAGGCGGTATGTAGCTCATGTAGTGTAATTCACAACTGTCGGAGCTAATATATACTCATTCAAAAAAGAATGGGAACACCCTTTACATTGTATACTTCGTCTTTAATGTAAACTGTAACAATAAATGAAGCACCAAAGCAACGTAAAGAGGTTTTTTTTTCGGCAATGCAGATGTTAAGTTCCAACACGTGTACTTGAAACCTGTTATGATTTCATACTGGTTGCGTTTTGGCGCCCGTCATTTATTACCAGAAACATTTAAAAATTTGTTCAAATGGAAACATGGATATCGCAGAATCTGAGTGTATCTGCCACGGGACAAAACGTGCATTACATGATTACTGAGAAACAACTGCGCCCATGGGTATAAAAGTTTGTATATGGAGTTTCAGACATTTCGGGCACCCGTGAAGAGCCACCTCCTCGTGGTGGGTGCTGGGTAACGCTAAGCGCTTTTTGACCCCCCGTTGTGGACCCGGGGGTATATTTGGTCCACCAACCCGTTTGCCGTGGGTTGCGCCCCTGTGTCGGTGGAGGACGGGATTTTGGTGGTTGAGGGCACTGGAGCCAGGAACTATTCAATATTGGCACCCGTTTCATATGAAGAGCCACCTCCTCGTGGTGGGTGCTGAACGGTAACGCATCCATAAAAAGTGGCGGTCCGCTCTTCAACCCCCGTTGTTAACAGGGTTACCCGGGGTATATTTTTGAATACCCTGTGCCACCAACCCGTTTGCCGTGGCTCTTCAACCCCGTTGCGCCCCTGTGTCGGTGGAGGAAGGGATTCTGGTGGTTGAGGGCATAGGAACCAGGAACAGGGTTCCTATTGCCCAACACACCACTTCGGCCCTAACTTCACCTAGACGGGTGGTTGAATGGGCCCGGTTCAACCAATCGGCTGGTCACGCCAAGCCCTGATCATTACATTATGTAATGTTGCACAAAATTTTGAAAATTGTAACATACTATTTTTAAGTCTTGGCGAATTTTTAGAATTTCAAATACACACTTTCATGTTTTTGCCTAGAGTCGTATGCCCAGAAGGCGGTGGCTCATGGGCCAATCAGGTGGAATTATTACTTTTGTATTATTCTGCTTGCGTATATCATCCGGGTATCCTTGGTGCTGCAGGCTGGAAACCCGCCTGTTTTTAGCATTGTCCTTGTGATACTCCGTGGAGGGTGGGGAGCTCGGATGATGAAACAATATAAACTTACCATGGCTTACGAAACCCCCTAAAAAACCCAAAACGTCCTCTTGATACTACTGATCCTGATGTTAACGACCAAAGACTGTCCACATCCATTGACTACTGGCCACCTTTTATTGTAATTGAGACCATTGACAATACTCCATTAAAACTGAACCCTTTTGCCGTATCAAAAGGCATACAAGGCATTGCAGGAGATGTCAGAAACGTTAAACGTTTACGGACAGGCTCTTTACTTGTTGAATGCAGTAAGAGGCAACAGGCAACCAACCTCCTGTCAACTAAATCCTTTGTCGGCATTCCCGTATCAGTCTCTGCCCACCGAACGCTTAACACCAGCAAGGGCATAGTTAGAGACCGAGACCGACTTTTTGCTGATATGATGGAAATTGATATTGCCTCCGAGATGAAGGACCAAGGTGTGATATTTGTCAAACGTTTCACTACCCGAAAAAACAACCAGATCCAACAAACCAACACCTATTTGTTTTCATTTTCAACTCCAACTGCTCCTAAATCAATAAAGGCTGGTTACTGTCACATCAAAGTGGAAACGTATATTCCGAATCCACTGAGATGTTTCAAGTGCCAAAAGTATGGTCATGGTGTAAACACCTGCACATTGTCTGTTGTGTGTGCTCACTGCGGTGAGAAGACCCACACAACAGAAGATTGTGACAGTAATTACAAAAAATGCACCAATTGTTCAGGAGACCATTCCTCTTTCTCTAAAGAGTGTCCGATTTGGAAGCACCAGATGGAAATAAACAGGATCAAATTTACTCAAAATATTAGCTTTGCCGAAGCGAAACAACTTGTTCCAAGATGCGACCCACAAGAAACATATGCTTCAAAAACCAAAACACCATCTGAGCCATCCACTAAAGAGTCTAAATCTTCTTCAGGTTCCCAAACAAACTTGACTTGGGTGAACACCGATTCTCCACAGATTTTCTCACCCGAAATATCCACTCAGACTGCTGAGCCACTTCCTGGCATGTCACAAAGTCAATCAGGGTCAGCTTCTGATCATGATTCATCATCACAGCCGCCCACAAGGTCTCA